ATTGAGTTATAAATAAGTTCCGTTTTATAAAATACAATTTATTTGCCAATAGAATGTACTACAGTGGACTTTAATCTAATATATATTTGCCATCATTATTAATAACATTTTATCATTTTTCATGTAACTTGTCAATTCCCCCTGCATAAAATTCTGATGAATTTTAGTCCAAAAACTCCTGGACTTAGTTATCATTTTAGAAATGCTATCCATTTAGAACACTCTGTAGTACTCGGAAAATATAACTTGTTGGTGCTAAGTTCAGTAAACATGGTAGATAGGTATAACCTTACACTGACATGCAATAAGGTGAGCTTTCTTCTAGTAACAAGTGCAGGACAATTTTTTTGAAGTTTTGCCTGAAGCTATTCTAACTCTTGAATGTATATGTTAACAGTAATAGTTTAGTTGCGTGGTAATGATTCGAAATGAATAATTCTTTGGTGATCCTACCATATATGTAATGAAATTTTTCTTCTATGTACACTGGTTGAGACTGCTGATACTTGTCAACCCGTTGTCTTTTTCAAACAATATTTTCATATACAGTCAACCCTTCTACAACGCGGTACTCTTATAACACGGTTTCCATATAACGCGGTGCCAAAATTGCGACGGCCCTCCTATAACGCGGTACTCTTACAACGCGGTACTCTTATAACGCGGTTTCCCTTTCCCGGAGGGGAATGCCCTTCTTTTTTGTGAAGGTACATCACCATTTTCCAATTTCAGTTATCAGGAAATTCCCCTATAAGCGAAGAAACGATGCGAGATTGTTCACAGTGTTCTGTTTTAATGCTTAAAATAGATCGTATGATTGACTGTTGCGTATTTGCGTGAATTTTTTTATTCAATAGCACTGCCGAACTTTCGCTGTTGCAACCACTTACTTTGTCATCAATTTTAAGTGCAACTTACAACTTGTTAGTAGGAAACTGTCTGTAAAACCGTGCAGACGTACATATCACGATTAGTGTTCAATAAAACGCCTTTTGCTCGCTTAATTTGTGTTATCGTAATTGGACAACATTACACAATACTGTAGGTAATATTTTTTATTTGTTGTAATATAATAATAATAAAATAATTGTTAACCCAGGTTTGCATAATGTCAGGCACAAAAGAAACAAGAAAACAGTTAAAAAGAAAATTTATATCTCTTGAGGACAAAATCCAAATTTTAAATCGTTTAAAGGGTGGAGAAAAAATATCGTCTGTTGCAAAATCGATAAATTTGAATGAATCTACAATTCGAACCGTAATGAAAAATGAGGTATCATCAGTTTTCGTCTCCAGTAACAATGTTATCCAGAAAGGATTTATATTTATGCTAAAAAAGGAAGCTAGCAACCATCAACATTTTATTAGTCTTATACCATTTACTAAAATCATGAAGAATTTGAACTTTCAACTTGCACACCTTCCCTAGTTTTTAATCAAGTTTCTCTACTGTCTCCCTTGTTTGCTATGGATTGTGCTATAGGCTTTATTCAATCAAGAATTTTAAAACATCATCATCAAAGTGCAGCCTAACCTTAGTTCATCTTCTAAGGATAAATTTGCAGAATGGAATTTTGTCTACCACTTTCAAATGGCTCTATCTGAAATGACCCTATTGTCATATACACTACAGATTTTTGCCACTGTTGCTGTAGCATCATTATCAAGTTTATACTTCGCAACATAATGTGGCATATATGCACTTTTAAATTCACCATTTAGACAGTTTCAAAAACAGACTTTAAGTTGCAATCTTAATACTTCAATTATTAAATTGAGATTGAGAGATAATTCTCTAATAGCCAACTAACAGTCAACTAATAAAATTTAGTTGACACAACATACAATCAGGCAATTCTTGGAGTGACAATTACACTCATCCTGCATTAGAACTCATTTATGACTTAATCCAACATATTGCCTTAGTTGAAAGCAAAATTATTATAGAATAATCAGATCTAAATAATTCTCTACTCATTGATAGACAGAAAACATTGCTGTTAATCAAAATCGAAAAATTAGGTGCACATTGATAGTTTTTTCTAACATTGTACATATATTGTAAGTACAGAATTTATGAAACAGTTTAAAAAATCTTACTTGGCAGTTCAGGAGGTTGAGGTGGAGTGTGTGTTTGTTGTGTCGAAACAAGCCCTAGAGAACTGGAAGCCACAGTACTGCTCCCAGTTGCTCCAGGTGTTCCAACAGAAGAACTTGTTGTGGGTCCAGGTTGGGGAGCTGTAAACAAAACAACAGTATAAGAAGGTATATTAATACAACTAATTTAATTGTCATAATCATAAAAAATACACAACAAAATAATTAATATATAACACATATTTTTCAAAATATATATAATGACTAATAGAACAATATAATTAGTATACTATAATGGTTGAAAATTTTGCTGTAACTGGATAATAGATTTATTAAATTATTAAGGTATACTAAAGTTATTGAGGTTTAAAGTTTCATTAATAAATCTGCCATTTCATATGCAACGACCTAATATTACTTTATATCATTGTAATAAGACTTAATGTATTTTGAATAGATTATATTTTAAATGAATAA